GTCCGTGTCGTGTCGTGTCGTGTGTCGTGTGTGTGTGTGTGTGGGGGGGGGGGGAGCTTCTGCTGCCGCAGTGAGTGATACTTTTAAGAGTTTTTTCCTTTTTTGTTGTTCCTAGCACGTGATTGCCTTGGTTGCGTTTGTCCGCAATGCTCTACTGGCCATTCTTCTGCGCCGCCTATACTTCCTGTGGTTGTGTATTTGTGAGGAATGGGGAAAGCTTCTCAGTTGCTCTTGCTTCTATATATATTCTCTTTCTTCCAGCGTCGAGGGGAATGTCAGCAGACTACATTCAGCTTGTCGGTACAGATGTGCCCGGCAGTTATGGCAGCTGCTGCTTCAGTGGTCAGGTGCAGCACGAGGCACTGCGGTGCCCAACGCAGCTGCTGACCCTGTCCGAGACACCGCCGCAATCATCGGAAGCAGCACCGGCAATGAACGGTGATGGCCAGCTGTTATTCTTCAACTGCCCGGAGGGTGTGCAGCGCTTTAGCTCCGAGGCGAATGTACGGCTGGTGCGCACCCGTGGCTTCTTTTTTACTCGCTGGGCCGCGTCAGCAGTGATGGGCATGCCTGGGCTGCTCTTCACGATCAACGACGCCGGTGTTCGGCATGCCAACTTCTTCGGCCCAAGCAGTCATTCCCTTAGCGTGGAGAGCGGTGCTGAGGCCTACACGCAGCGATTACCGTTGCATGCCGAGCGCGCGGATGTTGCGGGAGTGGAAAGCATGTTAGAAGCATTGCGACGGCATTACTTTTGGTACAGGGCGATTAGTTTTCAGCAGATTCGTGCGGGCGCGGTGCACCGCCAGTTGCCAACCACGTTGCCATGGAACTACGTGTGTGAGGTGCCACTGCGGTCCCTTGAAGAAGCGGAGGGAGGAAAGGTCTGTGAGCCTCCATGTGACGCGTCAGCAACCGCGTCCCCGGCATCCTTCTTTGTCTTGGCGCTACGGCTGAGCCCCACAAGCGCCCTACTAGGCTTCCGTGTCTCACGCAGGGCCGCAACGTCCTCGGAGGAGACGTACAGCTACGCCATTGTGCACGCACCCACGGCGTGTTTTGACCCTCAACGTGCGAAGGCGCTTGGTGTACCGGCAGGGCCAATGTACGGCCAACTGAAGCAGGGCATCGGCGTGTGGGTCGACGATGAGCAGACTCCTCCGCATGGGACGCATGCCGTGGAGAAGCCGCGCCGTTTCATTTCTCCCCACAGCGTGAAACAGGCCACGGTGGGCAGTCGATGCATGTACGTGTCACTTGTACTCGACGGCGATGACTGTGCGGAGGTTGCGGCAGCGTTGGAGTCGCTTTTTGGCCGCGATGAAACAACCTGCGAGGGCCAATGCGAAGAGGAGACGACACTTGATACGGAAGGCAAGAAGTTGCGAGGTAGTGAGCTTTGCCGTTTTCTTGCACAATGGCAGCCCTCTTTTTTGTTCTGCGACGACCACCACGCCGCCTCCGAGGCGGCCCCGGCCACGGCGCCACAAGCGACGGAGCGCACGGTTGTTCTCACGCATGTTGTGCACGTGCAGCAGTTTGATTTTTTTGCGCCGTTCAAGACGGGCACCGCTGGGGCCGCGGAGGCACATTATATCACGTCTATTTTTGCGGATGTGCAACGTGGGGTTCGGGAGCAGGCTATCCAGTGCTTCCGCAATGACGCGAGTGCCGGCGACGCCACTACCGCTGCGCTTATCGCGACGGGAACAACGCACCATTTTTGCGCCGCCGTGCAGCAGAAGTTTTCTGCCTTTCCTACTGCTCTTGCACATCGGTATCACCTTAACTGCATCGCAGAGGCGCAGTTTCCCATAGCACGCTCATCCGCAGCGGAAAAAGAGCTTGCCACCATGAAACAGGGCCCTGACCCAATTTGGCCATACAGCGTGAAGCACCAGTTAATTCCCGCAGAGGCTGCCGACCGCATCACAGATCACACAAACAGTTCGGCTTCTGGTCCTGCCACCACTGTTGCGTCGCCGTCTTTGTTATGTCCCAGCACCAAGCAGGTGAAGAAGGGTGGTAATTTGAGGAAAGGGGATGTGACAGGCCTGCTGCGGTACCCGACGGCACGCTCAGCTGTTGATATGCTCTCAGCACAATTCCGCTGTGCCGTGAGTAGGGCACGTGAGCAGATGTCAGGTGTGTTTACACCTTCGTCTTCCTCTTTGACTCGGCCTCAGGGAGATCACCACGATTGTCTTCATGGTACTTGTGGTCAGGACGATGACAGCAACACATGGCACCTTGATGGCGGAGGGGCCCTGACGTTTTTGGGTACCGGCTCTGCCGTCCCAAGCAAGTACCGCAACGTGAGTGGGACGTACCTTGAGGTGATGTATCATGCTCGTCGCAGCACAACCCTTTGCAGGGCTGTTGTGGTGTTAGACTTCGGTGAAGGGAATACTGGGCAGCTAGCGATGCTTTGGGGCAATGGCTCTGGTAAGGTTGTGCTGCGGTTTTTCAATGATTTGGCCTTTGTCTTCATCTCCCACGCACACGCCGACCATCATCTTGGACTGATGTCTCTTCTTGAATTGCGGCATCGGCTGCGTGTGCAGATGGCGAAGGAGGAGCCAAGTTGCAGCGGCGCTCTGAAGGAACCCGTTCTCGTTGTATGCCCGCAGGAGGTGCACGAGTTCATGCAGGATACGTGGGGACGCTGTGCGGCGTACCGGCAGTGGTTACAAGAAGAAGTCACGTATGACATAATTCCTGCAGAACGGTGCCGGGCCGATGGGGCTTCCGCCGCCAGCTCAGTGTTTCTGCCGCGTCTTAACGCGGTGTGTGCGCGTCTTAGCGAGAATACGGTGATGACATCTTCTTTAGGAGGGTCTCGAACGCCACCACCAGTGTGGGGTGCTGAAGTTTTCCCGGTACATCACCCTGCCAATGCACACGCGCTGCTTCTGCGCTTCCCCGCCCCGGTGGGCGCTGCCGCCGAGTCCCGCGTCTTCCTCTTCTCTGGTGACACAAGACCGTCACCGCTTCTTATTGAGCGTTGCCACCAGTTTACCAGATGCATCCATCATGGCAGTGAACAGGAGAAGGGTGGAGATAGTGATGGTGGTGCCCACACCGAAGGTGTGTTCCTCTGTCTACACGAAGCCACGTTTGGCGAGGGCTGCGAGGAGGAGGCGGTGCTGAAGTGTCACTCCACACTACCAGAGGCGCTGCAGGTGGCGGCGGCCATCCGTGCGAAGCACATTGTGCTTAACCACTTCTCGCAGCGGTACCCGAAGTTGCCGGGGCTCATGAAGTCACAGCTGGATGGAAGGGACGTCGATGTATGCTGCAGGCGGCGGAAATTGCGGATGGCAGAACCAGCGACAACCCTCATTGAGCAGAGCCATTCTGAGGATGCTGTGAACTTGTCTGAGGAGGTCAAGCAGAGAGACATCCCAAGGCTACCGCCGCGCGACGCGTTGAGCCCCGATGCCAGGTCGGGTTCAGGGGCAGCTAGAATGTGTTTTGGTTTCGACTTCATGCGGCTCTCCTTCGCGTCGCTGGAGAGCCAACAGACGGCGCAGCTGACGCCGCTTTTCGTGCAGCTTCTGGAGGAGTACGAGTCGTGGGGCGTCGGCACGACGAAGCGGCTACGCAATTAACACGGATAAAATAAAGGATGAGACAAGATCCCTAAAAGAAAGAAAGGGAGCGAAAGAGATATGGAGAGGGAAAAAAGGTGTGCAAATGAGAAATAGTGTAGCTGGTGGAAACAAAGCTCATGGCGCGTGTCTGCCGCTCTGTCCGTGTGTCTGGGAGTGCCCGCACTTATTACTGCGAATGTTTTTTTTTTTTGTGTGTGTTCTTTTATTATTATGTTTTTCTTGTATGGCTGGTTCTTGTGATTTATTCCCATCACCACCGCCCTCATTCTCTTTCTCTCTATTTTCAATTTTCAACTCTTGATGGAGGCTGAGGCTGGAGGAGGCAGCGACGTCACGGACTCGCAACACCCTGCACACGCATCCTTTACTCACCCAGATATTTATTCGCACACATACACACACACGTGTAGAGTGAGAATATATATATATATAGAGAGAGAGAGAGGGTGAGTGAGTGTGTGCGAGAGGCATAGATATTTTTGCTCAGTTGGGGTCTGTAGGTGTGAGTGTGAATAGCCGCCCTTTTCTGCGGCTGTTGGCGCAGAGTGGGTGGAGGCGGTCTGCCATTTGTGTAGTGTGCCACGGTGCCGAATATGCTGAGGTTGCCATGGCGTGCAACAAGGCTGCTGCGTGCGGCAAAACGCACCGTGGCCTCCGCTGTTGCGCAGGGGGCTAAGCGAGCCCCGGCAGCTTCCGCGGCGGAGCCACTGACAGCCAGTGCGGCCCGGGCGGCAGCACCCACAAAAGCCGCAGGGCAGCGTAAGCCTCAGCGTCAGGGCATCCGAAGCAGTAGCGAGAACAGCAGGCCGGCAGCAGCGGCGGCGCCTGAGGTTGCTGTAGCGTTGAAAGACATTAGAACAATCTCAACGACGTCCAATTTTGTGCCTGACAACCGCGAGAAGGTCCTACAAATATTTCAGCGCCTGGCGGAGATCAACAATGCACTCCAGGAGCGGTACAAGGCGCAGTCGTACCAGATTGCTGTGGACAACCTCAAGCGGGATGACTTCATCTTTGTGCATCTTCCACCGAACATCATGCAGCCCGGCGTGGATGACACGCAGAGAGCGGAGCAGTTAAATGCCGTGAATGCGACACCCGCCGTGGGGGAGAAGCTTAAGGCTAAAATTGTGGAGATCCTCTCCACAGGCGACCTTGCGGAGCTCCACAGCCTGCAGGCAAAACCCATCATCCGAGCTATTCAAGACCTCACGCAGGTGCACGGTGTCGGCCCCCGCACTGCGGTGACATTTTACAAGAAATACGGCATTAAATCCGTTGTGGAGCTGCAGCAACGCATGCAGGAGCACGACACCGAAGCGATCGCGGGTAGCGCTGGTAGCAAGAAGAGTTCCAAAAAAAAATCCACGGGTAATGATGATGCAGTCTTGCACCTTACCGAGGCACAGCGTTTAGGGCTCAAGTACTATCGCGATATCATGCAGCGCATCCCGTACGAAGAAGTGCGCCTGCATGAAGCCTTTTTGAAACTGCGGCTGCGGAAGTATCTTGGAAAAGGTTACGAACTCTCCATCTGCGGAAGCTACCGACGACGGCTGCCAACCTCTGGCGACATTGACGTGCTCATCACACGCAAAACAAACGGCAAGGTCCCCGTCACCCGCCAAAATAAGAGCAAAAAAGGCAACACGAGTAGCGGGGAGCGGGTCTTGGCACCGCAGGAGGTGCTTGCGGCCTTCGTGGCGGCCCTCAAGCAGGAGCGATACATTGAAGCAACCCTGGCGCAGGGGGCAACAAAATTCATGGGGGTGAGTCGTTTGAAGAGCTACAACTACAACGCGGGGGCGACAATCCCAAGGCTGTACCCTGCACGGCGACTCGATATTCGTTTTGTCGAGCCGGAGTGCTTCCCCGCAGCGCTTCTGTACTTTACTGGCAGCAAGAACTTTAACGTCGTCATGCGGGCAGAGGCGATCAAGCAAAACTTTGTACTGAACGAGTATGGTCTGTTCTACAACGGCGCAGCCACACCTGCGAATGCTGAAGAGGGAAGCAAAAATAGTAGTAATAACAACAATAAACCTAACAATAATAACAATGATAGTGGGAACAACACGACACGGGGCCGGTGGAATGCGGAAGCATTTCAAAAGTTGGTGCGGGCCCAGTACTACTCCGCTAAGTCCCCTGCATTCATGGACGACGACGACGACGACGGCGGTGGGGACGAGGACGACGGTGACGATGGCGACGGCGAGGATGCCGGCGGAAGGAAGCACCGGAAGAAGGGTTTGGAATTACGGCAACGACAACTGCAGCATGGCCTCGCCGTTCTCTGGCGTGAGGTGGAGGCACGGCGTGTAAAGGTGAAGCACGAGCGTGACGTTTTTGACGCATTAGGCATGACCTACGTTCAGCCGGAGCAACGTGAGATTTGAGGGGCGTCTGCAACCTCGCCACTTCCCACGTGCATCAGGGCTGAGACATACTTGACGAAGCAGGAGCTGCGGGCCCCTCGGCCGCGCCCCTTTTCATCCATAGAAACAGTAACGAAGTGAGCAGAGCGGCAATGCCCAATGGTGTAGCATAGAGCAATAGCGAGGGAAGGGGGAGAGAGAAACGCACACGCATGTGCCTTTTTTTTGTTCTTCTTTTCTTTTAGAAAGCGAAGCTCCATCCAAAAAAACAGAGACAAAAATGTTTAGTTTTTATTTTTTCCGCGCGTTGTTGGTATTAACTCCACGCGGTCGTTGCATCGTCCACACACGTCTGCGGCTTCCTTGTCCTCGCCCTGACCGTCTGTTGACGGCCCTGACTCCCCCTCATGTTTTTGTCTCTTTCTCTCCTGCGCGGTTGCCTTTGGCTCCTCCCACACGCACACACGGTCGAGGCATAACGATCCACCTGTTCCTCACCGAAGTGGAAACGAAGGGAAACCAGACAACAACATAGAAGTATAAGAAGTGAGGGGAGAACAAGAGAAAAAAAGAGAGATAAGCATCTAATAAAAGCGAAGAGGGTGACAATAGAAAGGAATAGGAGACGAGAAGAAGATAATCTGTACGTTACACACAACACAGACTGCGACAAGGCATATATAAAAGAATAATGTTTCGTCGCACGTTCTGTCGCCTCAATTCGGATAGTCGTGAGAACATCATCCGCATCTTCAAGGAGATGGCGGATCTAAACAATGCCCTCGGTGAGAAGTACAAGGTGCAAAGCTACAACCGCGCCGTGAATAGCCTCAAGACGAACCTCGATCTGCCGCTGCAGACGGTGGAGGATCTGGAAAGGTTCCCCGGCTTTGGCTCAAAGTTGCTGAAGAAGGCGGAGGAAATCATCATGACGGGTAAGCTGGAGGAGCTCGAGAAGAAGACAAAGCCGAAACTCAAGGCGATTCAGGAACTCACGCAAGTACATGGCTTCGGTCCGCGCGCGGCGGCTTCCCTCTTTGATCGCGAAGGCATATTCACTGTGGAGGAGCTCATAGAAAAGGCGGATCGTATTCAGTTAACAGATCAACAACGCGTGGGTGTGCGGTACTTTCATGACATCAATGAGAAGATTCCCATGCATGAGTCTGTCTTACATGAAAACTTCCTCCGTGAAAGTGTGCAGATGAGGCTTGGCTCTGAGTATGAGCTTCAGGTCTGCGGTAGCTATCGCCGCCGGCATCCATTCAGCGGTGACGTCGACGCGATACTTGCGCGCTCGCTGAGCGCCGCACCACTCGACGGTCCAGTGACGGCCACTGGCGTCCTCGGGATCCTTGTGGACTACCTTCAGGAGCGAAAGTACCTCGAGGCGACCATGGCCCAGGGACCTCTAAAGTACATGGGCATGTGCCGCCTTCCTCCTCGGGTAACAAATGGGGCAACAAAGCACTACAAGGCCCGACGGGTGGATATTCGGCTTATTGAAGCGCGATCCGTGCCTACCGCCTTGCTCACCTTTACCGGTAGTAAGAATTTCAATGTGATCATGCGTCAGGCGGCCATCAGTAAGGGATATCTCCTGAACGAGTACGGTCTTTTCAAGATTGGAAGTCCGGAGGAGGTAAAGGCGCTGCAGGAGCGGGTTCGGGCGGGCAAGACCGCTGGAAACAAAGCCCTCGCGACGGACGCCGCCGCGGAGGAGGGCGTTGACCCTGTTGTGTCGGTTATTAGTGGTCACTCTGCAAAGATGGAGACTTTGGGGCTCACGAAGGAGGAGTTGGAGGTGAAGCGCGTGCACGTCACGTGCGAGAAGGACGTCTTCGACGTCCTAGGCATGCCGTTTGCAAAGCCGGAGAACCGCGACCCGTAAGCAGGGGAGCGTGACAGGCGCCCAGGGTAAACAAGCAGGAAAAACAACAATAAAATAACCCCCCACCCCCACCCCCAATCAAACAAAAAAAAAGACAAGGAAATATAAAAAGAGGGGCGGGGACCTCGCGCTTGCTGCAAAAGGAATCGCGAGGCATGAAACAAAACGATGACCCTGGCGCGCAACTGAACAAAACGAGACTGAAAAGAAGAAAAAAGGCAAACCCTCCAAACGAGGGGAAAAAAGGGGGCGAAAGAAAGAGATGAGGATGGGGCTTTTATTTTTCTCAAGAGCTCTTGACCGCACATAGAGTGAGTGAAGGGGGCAGGGAGAGCGAGCGACAGAGAAAGAGAGAGAGTAATGGTGTGAGGAAGAGACGGGGAGTATAGAGGTAGATGAAGAGCTGAAGGCGGTGGTGGGAGTCAAGCAATCCGCATACATGAGCGAAAGGACAACGGAAGACGGCAGGGAGGGAGAGGCGGGGAGGAGGGAGAGAGGCGCACCGGGGTTGTAACGTCCAATTATGGTCGTTGCGTGCTGTGCTGGGTGTGTGCCACCCGAACTTGTCGACGCGCTCCTCCTCCTCCCCCATTCTGCTCCTTTTGTCTTGCGCACAAAATCCCTCGTTTTGTTTGTTATTGCTTTTGTTTTCTTCAATACGTTCTTTACTCCTTTTTCGTTGTTTTTCCCCCCGTTCTACGAAAGTATATATATATATACTTTTTTGCCGCGGTGCAATTAACCCCTGCAACAGTCTGCTTCCCCTCTCCTCCTTCCCTCCGCTCTCTCTCTTTTATTTGCCTCTCCCACTCACCCTCACGACAGCATAGATGAAAACAGAAACAAAAAAAAATGGGGAAGAAAAAGTAGGGGCTGGAAAGCAGAGAGTGAGAAGTGTGTGAGAACGTGTGTGGTATAAAGCAAAGACTATTATTACTACTACTAATGCAGCCACTACTGTGTTTGCGTGTGTGTGCGGATGTGGTTCTTAGTCATCCCCCCTTCTGTTTTATTTCCCCTTCACTCCACAGTGAGGAGAATAACAAAGGGAGAAAAATGGGACTGAGAAAGAAAAATATCTTCTGTTTTGTTCTTTCCTTTCTAATGCCCTTTTCTGTGCACTTCCTCTCTCCAGCCGCACACGCATATGCCAAACCCAGCTACCCACGCACGCACTACCCCACAATGGTGGATGTCCGCCTCAGGCGGAACTGCGGAGGCTATGGGTATGACTTCTTTGTTGGTGTATCCCTGCGCTTCGGTCAGTGAACCACTCTCAATTTATCGTTTTGTGAATTTGTCGTTTCTGTTTTCTCTCTACTTATTACCGGGGCGTGGGCGCAAACAAAAAAAAAGAGCAAGGGTGCGTAAGGGGTGGGAGTGGTGCAGAAAGAAGTAACGAAGGAGGCGGTGCTTCTCTCTGCGCAGAGAGGGACTCACACCCACACCCGCATAAATACTATTTTCAGCTCTGAAGAAATTTGCTTCTCCGTTATTCTTCCCAACAATGTCCTCAAAAAAAGCTTTGGTTGAGCACATTGATGCCCACCGGGGGCGCGGTCTTGTGGCGAAGGCGGACTTTAATGAAGGTGACTCTATTCTTCTTGCACCGTATGATATTGCCGTGCTGTATAGCCCCTTTGTGCGCAACACGTGCTATCGCTGTTTTGAGCCCGTTGTGGAACTCCGAAAAGAGGAGGATGCAGAGGCTGCGGCAAATACAGAAGGAGAAGTAAATAAGGAGGAAATGTGTTACGAATGTTCTTCCTGCAAGCATCTTGCATTGTGCTCCAGTTGCGTGAAGGATTTGGTTGCGGAGGCGTGTGGGCTGTCTGGCGGGGCTGTGCCCGCCGCATCGTTGAGAGACAATGGGCGTGAAGGAGCTATGCTGCACACGCATCCCCTTCTAGAGGCGCATAAACTGGCCTGCGCTTGGTTTTGCACGCTCCCTGATTCCGTGCGGGCGGGTGATACGGACTACCTGCGTTTTGCATTGCAGTACGGCTCGCGTGAAGTTCTTGGTGACACCCGACTTTTGCTCGCCGTCAAAAAGTTGTGCACTAATACGGTCCAGCAGTTTACGGAGACGCACCGATTTTGCGAATCCTTTGCGAAACTTGTTGTGGAAACGTTTGCCCCACAGGGATACCGCGTGGATATGGAGCACCTGCGCGACGTCCTCCTCCGCACCAAGAGCAACAGTATTGGCTACCCCTTTAATGAGGAGACGACACTCGGCTGGTCACTACAGGAGGAGTTTTGCATGATTAACCACAGTTGCGTCCCCAATGCGGCGGTTGTGCGCCCGAAACGCACAACAACGGCGGGGGCGTGTTCGATGGAGCTTGTGGCGCGACGCCCCATTAAGGCAGGGGAAGAGATTACAATTGCATACGTCGACGTTGAAAGCTACACAAGCGACGTAAAGACGAGACGCCGACATCTGATGGAGGGTTACGGGTTTCTCTGCCGCTGCCCAAAGTGTGAGCCTGACACCGCCCCTGCGGCACCCACAACCGCGCATGAATAATAACATAAATTCCACTGCGCCAGTCTTTGAGGTATATATCTTTCTCTCTCTCTCTCTCTCTCTCTCATACACACTGCTCGTGTCTGTCGGTGCGCCCATGTGATGATATGCGGGTAATATCGGAATAAGACCCTTCCCTCTTCATTATATCTTCATATTAGCGCGCCCAACAAAGTTACACGTGCTGACGACGTCCCGAGCAGTAAACAAAGAGGTGCTCTCTTCATTTTTGTTTGTTTGCGTTCACGGTGCAGTCCGCTCCAGCGAGCGTGGGAATTGTTCGTGGTTGACAAACGGAAGGTCCTGCAAATAACTTTTCGGGGTGGTGTTGTTCCATTTGATGCACGGAAATAGGATTGAGCAGCCACGTCTGATCCTCCTCGAAGGGTGTCTGGTCCACCTTGCCAGGGACCTGCTGCATGGGCCGGGGCCTGTTCACATCGTACAGCGGCGTGGGCTCAGCCGAGTGTGGGGTCGGCCGCTTCCTGCAAAAGACGATTGAAAGACCCAGTGTGGGCGCAAGTTTGGAAGTTTGACCTCGTTGGGGTCCGCTGCGCCACCGTCGCCCAGTGAGGCGTGGAAAAGGGCACGCGGCGCGGGCCGTAGGGAGGCGCAGGGAACAGCGCCAAGACGAGACGGCCGAGCTGCCCTGCGGGTGCCAGGCAGCGGGGCCACTAGACCACGGATCACCACCACTCTTTCAGTGACGGGATGCAGCTTCGCCTCCAACAGGGCATCTTCCGGCAGACTGCTTATCGGAATTCCCGCAGTAGGCGTGCAC